TGTTCATACCGTTTATTCTGAAATAGGTGAGTTCCCGCATTCCCTTCTGTTTTCCTATTTTTTTTTTATATTAGTCATGTTGCTGTTCTATAAATTTACCGTCATCGTAACTTAATATTGTACACGGATATTGGACTTTAACTTGTTGAGGAAGAGTTTTGCATTCTTTCTATATTATGTTATTTTTAGTATTAGTGCTTAGATGATTCTTTCTTAAATAGTTGAATTATTCATTTGTTTTTTCATAAGTATTCGCCGATTAATTGCGATTTTCATAGTGATTTGAAATATTATTCCTAGCTTATGATCATATATAGTCGTATATCATGTTTATCTACTCTGGTGATTGTTGTCTTTATATGCAATTTAAAAGACACAATCAGCTTTAGGACTTACTTTTTACTAATTAATAGAGAATTAGTGATTGTGTTTGGGTTTTCACAATTTTGTTGACACTACTTCAGTACAAACAATAACTGCATTCGATATAGTTATGATGTAATTTTGTATCTGAAAAGAATTTTACACGGAGGGAGTAAGAACTAAATTAGTGACCAGTAGAGTTCAAGTATGGAATTCAATGGTGGTATACGTATACAAGGAAAGACAAAGGTACTAACTAATGAGTGAACCCAAAGCCACTGGAATTACATAGGACAGTGGACAGTGGACAGTGAATTGCATAGGACAGTGGAGAGGTCGTAGTTTCGAAAATGTGAATTCCCAAGAGGGCAACTAACCACCACCCCTTCCAATGCCATAGGTAACCTTTCCTTCTCATTCATATCTGACGCTAAATATCAACCTGTCTCAAAGGGTATAAATTTTTATTTCACTCCCCGCACCGTGGATCTTAACTCCATTTCATTATATCTAGTGTTGATCGTTATTGTCCAGTTTTAAATCGATGACAAATGTTCTTGTTTTTTCGTTCTTTATCTTGATAGTTGTCTCTTGGTTTTTTTTTTGTAAAGCAACTTTCACTTTTCCCACTCTACCTGATTCGTTATGTTTAATAATAATAATAGCCAGACAGAGTTCAGCCAAGATCTCAGCAAATACTACTGTAGGATCTGTGTCCATGAGTTTTTCCCTGATTCTGACCCACGTGACTAATAACACCGGGGTACCCCCCAAAATCGTGTAGCATCTCTTGAGACTTTATATTTTCTGTCACTCCACAAGTCACTGTTAAGGTTGGTACATATATATAATTGGAAACGATCAGTGGTGCTCAAGTTCATGATTAACAAATGATGAAAATAAACTTATACAGTGCACTTTGGAAGTATATGTTTACCAATTTCAATAGGACATAAACTGTACTTCAAGTTAAATTCAGTGAACACAAAGGCAACTTATCTTTCTCAGAAAGTTCAAACAAAAAATGGTTAAGAAAAGCACCTGCATTTTTGGCAAATATATATGTCACACGAGCAAGACTGCTCTTTTTTGGATGTACAGGGGTTGGCCTGCCATTTTCATCAATTATTCTATTAATTGTGGCCAACTATAAAATATAGCGCCTGGTTGAGACTCAATCTAGCTTCTTTACCTGTCGAATTCGGGATAGGCTTCATGTAGGTGGTTGAGGGCATTCTGACTTCAGCCTGCGGCCAGTCATGTTCATACCGTTTTATTCTGAAATAGGCGAGTTGCCTTCATCGAAAATTATTGTTTTACACCGATATTGCACTTTTACTTGTTCAGTATACAGTATACAAGCACCTAACTAATGAGTAAATCCAAAGTCGCTGGAATTACATACGACAGTGGGGAACCATTCCAGCAAAGGGCCCATTTATGAAAGACACTCTTTTAAAAAACTCAGTTCTACTTAGTTTCACAAAAAAGATCCCCTTTACCTGAACCAAAAGTCTGGTGAGTGTGAACTGAAGAACTAGGTAAAAAGAAGGCTTGAGTTTTTTTGTGGTAATAAATTACGAGTGTATTGAAAAAATAAATTTAGCCACAATGAAAAAAAAATCACCATGTTTTAATATTCAAATTGGCAAATAAAGGGGAAGTTTGCTCAAGATAACCTATATTTTATGATGCGAACTATACGACAGTGGCTGGAGAAGTCATTAATCTGAATTGCCAAAAGGGCAACTAACCACCCTTATAAAAATCCACTACAGCGTGTCCCCAAAAAAATGTCCGTCTCATAGACCACAAAATAATTACTAAAATAAAGTTGTATACTCAATTAAAGTTTACATATTTAGAAAGCCCACTTTATTTTGTAGTTCCTGTGAAAATTTTAAATGAAAAAAATGATAAAAAGAAATGCACACTACAGACATAACATACCTTATTCCATGCTACACTTTTAATTCAACAACTGTGTTGTTGTTTTTGTTATTGAGTAACCATTCCTCCATGGAGTAACTAAAGTCAAGTTCATTTACTTGTTTGAATGTAAACTAATCAAAGTTCAGTTCCACTGGTCATGTTTGCTTTCACAGGGTGTGTTCGACTTTATGGTTTGTTCTTCAATGTCCAGTTTGTAAACCTTTATTGTCCCCCTGCACGTCCTTCCACCTGCAAACTTGGAATGGGCTGAAAAGCACTGCTGTTACATATTAGACTGTGTATTCAAAACCAATGAAGCGAGACCAATGACATTTTCACAGAAGTTACAAAATTAAATGGGCTTTCTTAATCTGAACAATAAATTGAGAATAATACTTGATTTTGGAATTAATTAAGCAGTCTATCAGAGGGACATTTTTTTTGGGGACACGCTGTATAGTTTCACCATTATAAATTTGTAGTTTTACTATAGTTCATCAAAGTTTACTATGATAAGTATAATATATGTAAAGTTTTGTGTAAGGTAAAGTTACTTTTATTTTACTACAGTAAATACTGCAGTATTATTGTACGAAATTTAAAGTTAACTTGTAGTAAATATATAGTGCCGTATTAAAGTTTACTGCAGTTTCACATCATACAAAAAATTATAGAAACACTAAAGTACGACTACAGTTTTAACACTCTACGTTCTACACATTTACTGTAGTTTCACTACATCCAAAAACTGTAGTATTACTTTTTTTAAACGCTGAAGTAGGACTACAGTTTTATCACAATACTTTCCGCATATTAACTGTAGTTTCACTACTTCCGAAAACTGTAGTATTACTTTTTAAAAACTGAAGTTAGGACTACAGTTTTAACACAATACTCAGTTCTGCATATTAACTGTAGTTTCACTACATCCGAAAACAGTAGTATTACTTTTTTTAAACGCTGAAGTAGGACTACAGTTTTATCACAATACTTTCCGCATATTAACTGTAGTTTCACTACTTCCGAAAACTGTAGTATTACTTTTTAAAAACTGAAGTTAGGACTACAGTTTTAACACAATACTCAGTACTGCATATAAACTGTAGTTTCACTACTTCCGAAAACTGTAGTATTTCTTTTTAAAAACTGAAGTCAGGACTATAGTTTTAACACAATACTTTCTGCATATTAACTGTAGTTTCACTACATCCAAAAATTGTAGTTTTTTTTTTTAAAAACTGAAGTTAGTGTAGGGGTCCGTGTCTTGTGAGAGACTCCGTAGTCTTCGTGTGAGACCGTGATTTCATCAGTTCTATTTATAGCGTGTAGCGACATGTCACCGCTATTCATCCACATGTAGTGCAAATAGTTCCTTTGAGGAGAAGTATTTATTTAAAACAGGTTGGAGGCATCAATCCCGAAAATTCTATTAATGTGTGAGAATGTATCCTGTAACTGTTAAAGACACTTTTGTTGAGCTAATAGTATCGGGAGAAGGGTTCTGAGGTGCATTAATCTACGTGTGTTTTGCCATCTTGGAAAGTGATGAGCAATACCGTCCTTTTCGGATCAGCTGCCAATGTGTGAGTACATTGAAGAATAGTTTGAGTCCCAAAACTCAGCTTTTGATGATAATATTTTTAGATCTATTGCATGATTTGTGTCTCATAGTCTCACATCACTGTCCCTGATACTACTGGGCAAATCTTGAGTTCATGTGTTGATTGGAAAAAAGAGTAATTTAAGGTTCATTTGTCATCTCGATCTGTTGAAAACTTTCGTGAGTGAATCACATGGTCGTACTCGGTGACTGTTTCATGTCTGTAATTTACAGTGACTGTTGTATGTCTAATCCTAGCTTTGGTTTCTTGCTCCATAAAATATTTTGTGGGATAGGTTGGCGAGTCTGATGCCATAACACAACCCAGCTTGGCGTTCGGGGAAATTTGAAGTTGAGGAAATTTAGCAATTTATAAAGGACATTTGTAAGGGAAATATATTTAGGGAAATTAAGGAAATTAAGCAACAGTTAGGAACTTTAGTGAAACTCAACTTAAGTGAATAAAAGTCAAAGGGCATTCTATTAAACAGGATTGTATTGAGTTAAAGATAACGGCATTTTGTACTGGAATTTAAGTTACTTGACAATTATAGACCACGCTAATTCTATACCCTAGCTCCTGTAACACTGGTTTATTTCATATAACACACTACTTGCCATTGTGGGAACTGATTGTCATTCATTTAATTCTGCCTTGTTTATATAAAATCAGACATCAATTAAAATAATTTGATATTCCAATTTGAGAAGTGAAACTTTTTGCTTCCGCTTCCAATTATTTTGTTTCTGATTTTGAATTATTGCCTCAGCGTCCTTAACTAATCATTTAGCGGACTTTCCTTCAAGTATCGTGGTGCACATAACACTGCCCCGTGGTCTCCGCGATCTGTGCATTAGGACTATAGTTTTAACACAATACATATTAGTCTTGTAACAGTTTTTACGTGTATTTGTACATGTATTTTCTTCAAATCTAACGTGTACTAATTTTCAGCAGAGAAAAAAAGCCATTCGAATTACTTAAGTACATGTAGTCATGTTTCCAAAAATGATATGCCTTGTGGATCGAGACTTGACAAAACCGCATGATCTCCATACATCGAACTGCATGTGAGGGACACCAAATAATTAGGTACCATGGAGTAATCTACCACTCGCATTCTGAACCATGCAATATTGAATATGCTACAGCACCATATCTGCACAACACAGTTTATTGAGCTAAACAGGAAACAGTCCACATGTTACATCATCAAGAGAATCATGTTACATGCCTAGCCTAACACACACACACACACACAGCATGCATAGTGTAGCATGGGCAAGTCACATTACGCAATGACCTTGCATACCAGATAAACGGTCAGTGTGGAAAATTTGAAAACTGCATTCAGTTGCAACAGTGCTGCAGTGCTTTGCAAGAGGCCAGAAAAGTTGAATTAAACTGGGTCAAAATCATGGATATAGTTGCATGACATGTGCATGCCTGATGTGGACATAAGTTACTGTTCATGTGCACACGCATCCTGTACATGGTTAGCATGTAGAAATACACTGGATGGGGATGATCGATGGACATGTTGGAGCTTAAGAGTTATATAGACATGATGATGCCTGGCATGATATGCCTGGACCATGGAGAAATGCCAGGACTCTTGTCTCACGGAGTCACGCGTCACAATCACAAGCTGTTGTATGCGGTAAGTCTACAAATTCACGTTTGGCTTTTATTCAGTTTGTTGATGATATTCCGTTATGGCTGTCCTACCCCACACTTGCAATTGGATCACGACATGCTGGATATTAAATTAGCTGTAAGCATATGTTAACGTTTAAACTGAATGACTAGGAAAATTATTATTGAAAAAAATTGGACCCAGTTTGTGTAATATTTTAATTATTTGTTTGTGTGTATTTTTTTTTCATTTCAGATACATCGTACAGCATTAGCAGCAAGAACTTATCCCCCAATCCTTGACAAAAGTTTGGTCATTTTGGTGATGTGTAAAAACATGTATTATAAACCACAGCAATCCAGGTATTCCATTCAGCCATACATACTGTACATGTGTTTGTTACTCTGTTAATTTACTTGGGCTCGTGAGATATTTCACAACAAGATTTCACTGCATCCTACTTTTGCAATGCAAGAACAAACTTACCAAAGAAATTTTAGCAATAAATTATATCCAATTTCAGGGCAAGCTGAAAAAACATGTATATGCTGGAAGTACATTTTCATAATTTTACCTTTTAAAGGGCTATGCAGATGATATGCGTATTACTTCAATAACATGTAAGCTGTGGGCAGTTTTTTTTGGTTTAAATTTTTTACAGTCACAACCCTTAAATTCAAACTTTGAAAACTATTCTTGTTGATAGATGGCACATTTTCATTATAAAAGACACTTTGCACAGACAAATGTACTTTTTGTGGCAAACATTGTCACAATAAAACCGGGGCTTCGTTGTGTTTAAAGACTGCACCATCCCCTTTGTAATAACCCAAACTTAAGTGTATTCAGCTGTGCTTTTTTGAGCTGTTCATTTTCCTGTTCATAACTTTTTAAGGTTAAAATGTTTACTGTTATCAACTCGATATACATGTACATGTAGGTTTAATTTTATACAACAGTCTTGGATGCATACATTGTGTGCATGGATTTGTACAGTGTGAACAAGTCCTTTTTCTAAGATACAGATAAAAGACAAAATTTGAGCTTAATTGAAGGATAAGACCATATTTTAATTGCCTTCAAAAACCTGTGCATTCCTGTTTGAGAAAAATGCTTGTGTATGCATTTTTGAACATTTGATTCATGTTTAGTTAAATGATTTGTCTATGTTTGCACTTTTTAGGGTGACATGTCATTTAAACATCATAAATATGTTAATTTTAGTAAAAGTAATGCACATGTATTTAATACTTTTTTGCAGGTGCCATATAAACCAGGTGCCACAACATTGACGGACATGTACATGTTTATTATTTAACTTCTTTTTGCAGATAACATGTGTAACACAAGTATGAGCTGATAACTCCTTCGTTATATTTTTCAATTTATTTTACCCTTTGACAAGTTCAATTTACAGTCTTTGAACACTTTTTGCATTAAAAACAGTTCTTTAGCTCATTTAACAAATAACTGAAAGTGAAGATACATTTTTATTCAAGTACATGTACATGTATTTGCTCAACTTGTGAAATGTAAACTTTATTTTATTTGTGTGACAAATATAGGATGATGCACATGAAGAAGAAAAAAAAGTCTTGTCTTTTTTTTATTATGTGTCCTTTTAACGTTTTTTTAAGTTAGTTTGCCCATAAAATGTTGTTGTCCACTGGTCATCGGAAAATGAAGCAGTTTTGCTGGAAGATATACATGTAGTGTACGTCGTGGTAAACTGCACAAAAGAAATGTAGTAGTGATTTTGGAGTTACTTACAGTACAACTACAATACTTGTATTCATTTTTACTGCACTAAATCTGGAGTAATATCTGCACTAAAACTGCAGTAGAATTATAATAAACCAAAAGTGAATGTTCATATTACCGTAGTAAAATTGAAGTACTACAGCGCCTAAACTACAGTTGCCACTGCAGTAAATATGGGGTAAATACTACGATAAAATTTTAATAAAAATGCAATAAACTGAAAGTAAATTACTACAGTGTTTTTGAAGTGAAACTGCAATTCCACTACAGTAAACTTTTTTTTTACTACAGTAAATATGCAGTTAATCTCTACTAGAATTATAATAAAAGTATAATAAAACCCCCTTTTTATTTTAATATTACTATAGTATTTTTACTACAGTAAGTATGCAATTAATCTCTAATAAAATTATAATAAAAGTAAAATAAATCCACATTATCAGACAACACACAAAACCACACAGTGAGAGTTGATTTGACTTTTCTGGCATAGATTTTTTGAGCCGCTAATTTATGTTGAACTGTATTAAATGTCCGTAAATACGTTAACAAGCTATAACATACCAATAATTACCTATTTGCTAAAAGATATTTGCCTTAGAAACATTTTAAACAAGCTAAAAACGGGGCACTATATGCCTATATTACTCAAGAAGTTATTTGTAGTTAAAGCACACCGATTTGGTCCACCGCTCGTAGATACGGTTGGCATGCCCCATCAGTACAAATGGGTGCTTGGCGTACTTTCTTACAAAGATTAAACACAACTTGTTAAATGTTTAACGTCCAAATTCAAAGGTTTTACTTAAGAACTATTCACCCAACTTGTTTATTTAGTTTGAATTGAGGCACTGTCCGTCGCTCCCAGCCAACTTCGCCAAACGCGCAACGCGCGCTCCATGGGACGACAGGCAGTACCCTCACACCCTTACCCCGAAGAGTAGAACCCGAAAAGAGAAAGACTGAACGAAACAAATACTAGCGTCAGGGTATTACTGGAGTTGTGTATGACTATTACCAACTGAGGATAGAGTCGAACTGCTACCATTTTTTTTTTTTTTTTTAAAGAGTTAATGTTGCAAACATCATTAATGCTGTAACCTCATCGGCATGCTTGCCACAAATCTTTGGCACTCTTCCTAAACACCACAAGCTGCCTCTTTGAAATTTTTGAAAATTAAACATGCATAATAATAATACACTTTACAAAGTTAGGTATTATAATCATACGCCACAACTTGATCATTGGATAACGTTGTCAAAAGAGGTAAAACTGATTACAAATGTTGATTAAATACTTTTATATATTTCTCAAACCAATCCTGATCGATATAGATTCAATTGATACAAAGGGGGAAATGTTAGTGGTTACCTTCTAAGCTGGCCTACAAAGTGGCAAAACCATTCGTGGACAAAAAGAGGACGAAATGTACTATTTTCCCGTGGGTAGATCTAATCTAAATCCGTAAGGGGAAATATCCCCAACATATCAACTTCCTATTGTGAGTATCACTAACGTGAACTAAACAAATTAGCTATTATTGCTCCTGAAAAAGGCGAAAAGCCAGTACGAAACCCACCCTGGTGGAAAAGATCGAAAAAGTTCCCTTCCGGCCCCCAAATAGGCGACCAAGTTTTCTTTGCAGTTTTTGGAGCAAAATTATCTGGAGGCATACATTTTTTTTTTTTTTACTTTTTAATTGTTTATGTTATCTTCCAAAAGTACAATTATTAATTTAATCCCCTTAAAACAATGAACTTGTTGAAGTAGCCGTTATTAAATGTAAACAGTCAATGTATAGCTATAGTTAGTCATTTAAACTGTTACCTGAAGATGAGTATTTCGTGTTCAATGTAAAATAAAATACAGTACAAAAAAGCCAGGACTATGTACAACCTACAACCCAATACAATGACATCAAAAGCATGAATGCAATTTAGAAAGTTCTAAGTTGTTATTTACTTAGCAATATTCATTTCATGTCAAGAAATGTTTCTAACCAGCTTTATCTGTTCCTTGTTTTTGAAGCCCAATTTTTTTTTTTTTTTTGAAAAATCATAACCAGCAGGAGGCTTAAGTACGGTGCATCAACGTTAACATGACAATGGGAAATATTATTAAACTTACAGGTAGGCCTACATATGAATAGTACAATTGGGCTGCTAAAGATCTGGGTCAAGCACGTAAACGCGCAACGTGTGGTTAAATGTATGTGTCTACAGATCATATAACTTAGCGTACACTTTATGTTGTATTATCCTCCTCAATGCCATCATGCTTTTAAATCGCGTCAACTTAATTGAAATGGATGTCCATAGAATTTAATAGGTCATGGTCAAAAAAGTTTGCCGCTTTTTCTGTTGACAGCTATTTTCCTGTTGAGAGTTATTTTCCTGATATTCGCCTTTAGGCAACAATTTATAATCTGGACGCCAAACTGGCAAAATTGCTGGACGATCAGTACCAACCAAACTTGACAAGATGTCCAACCTTGGAAGACCTCTATGTTGCAAATCAGAAGAGCATTCGATGGTATGAGTACCGGTCCCAAACCAATTTGTAGCGTGTGCTATCCCCTTGCATCCTGCAACAGAAAATACTCAAAGCAGCAGCTATCCTTTGCAAACATATCTTTTAAATGTATTTATTTATTTTTTGTTTATGTGTTCGTTAGGTTTTTTGTTTGTTGGGATGTTGGGGTGTTTATTTTATTTGTTTTGTCAGGGTGTTTGTTATCATCATTAACATTATTATTATATAATCTACAGCATCCCACAAATGGGCGACAGGTTCTTTTTTTCTTTTTAAAATTTATTTGGCAAGTCACATCTGGATTTTGGCAACATGCCATGTGGGGGTGACAAATTGGAGTCACACTATTGTTAGAACGACCCTTAGGACAAGGAATGTTTGTGTTGCAAATTATCTAGCTCGAGAAAATCACCAAATTTCGTGAAGAAAAGATAAGAGGTAAACTTGGATTAGGTGATAGTTTAGGTTTGTGCACAAGTCTATGATAAAGCCTCGCTGTTATAGCATTAGTAGAAATTATTACTATTTAATTATTAAAGTTTGTAGTATAGTATTTCATTATAATTTTAAATGTTAGTATAAATTCCTATGGCTTCACAAGTTGGCCATGGTGACAGAAAAGGATGTCAAGCTAAACAGGAGAGAAACTATACCTCGAATGAATAGGTCCCCCTTAATTGTGTGAAAAAGAATCTAGCATTTTGCTGCAATCATACAAGGTTGCAGGTTAATTACACATTGTCAAGCGGAGCCTACTGCGTTTTTGGACTCTTTGGCCAAGTTCCTTGGGTTAACAATTAACATGCCTTTTCAAAATAGGTTAAGATAGTGCCCATCCAGTGATCTCAGATCTGCCAACCTGCTCCGAAATCAGCTGCTCTGACAAACAGCGATCAAGTCATGTTTGGCCAAAATCGCACATTTATGTGGAAGTACTATCTTATCTTAGGAACTGTCAAGATTAATCATGCCAGTGGGGACACCGTCACTCCTCTTCTTCTTTTTTTTTTTATTTTTTTAATTTGCATTAAAGTGCTGTCTTTACATTAAAGTGCTGTCTTTACATTTAATTGTGTAGGCCCTACCATTAATATCATCATGATTATGTTTATAACTATGTAATTGGCATTACATGCACTGGCTAAAAACTGCTCAGGTTGCACCGCGGTGTTATTATAGGCCCCGGGCCCCTATTTATTGTATTAGGAACCAATGCCGAAAGATCGGCTCAAATTAGCTGGAGAACAATAACATTTGTCAGACTAGAAATAGTCTGAAAAATTAATTAATTGCCCAGGGCTGTTTTAGCTCTAGTATCTTACTGGATTTGTTTTTTTTTAATTTTTATTTTTTATTTGTGTGTTTGTTAGTTTATTTATTTATTATTCATTTACTTCTTATTATGTTTTACGGTTACATTTGCACTCTGGCCACGATTTGAGACAAATACAAATGAAACAAATGAAATAACTGAATACGCGCTAGGGCTTAGCGCCTGCTATTTTTTTCATGAGTTTTAGTCCTATATGTTAGGAAAACAAAACAAGCCCCACTGCATGCCTCAACATGTAATATATATAGGGCCAACAAAGGCCTATTAATGATGATAAATGGCTGGCTGCAAAAACAAAACTATTGATAAAATTCAATAATTATTTTTTTTTCAAATAAAATGAAGTAGGGACCAGGTATCTCCGTTGAGGGAAGTAATTGCAAAAGTGAATGAACAAGTCAACTGAACACTTAGAAAAGCTCATGCTCATAGTCATGGCTTCAGGAAACCAGGATGTAGGCCTAGGCTTATTAATTATGGCAAACAATTAAGCTACCCAGGTATAAAGTTGACTCAGTAGGCTACCAAAGTTAAGGCCTCGGTGATCAAGTGATGCCTAATCGCCATGATTCGCCTTCAGCTTGCAGTGGATAGGCATTTTAACTATCGCGCTTAACGGTCCCCGAATGATCGAATTTGTATCAAATCGGCCTAGGCCTATGCCGACGTCAACACCGATGCCCCGTCTGAGTGATCATGGTGATAGGCCTATTACATTCAATGTGCCGTAAAACTCATCAGACATATTGGACAATTTGTTCAGTTTAAATATCAAAATCATTAATTCAACTATCCAAATTAGGTCAAACCATGGAGGTATGAAAGGAAATTAGATTCAATCAAATGTTGATCGATCTCCGCACTTTCGATAGGGCCCTACCGCTGGCTGCGTATAATTGAAGCCTAGCGTTAAAACTAAAATCATAGAAACGGTGAACAAAAACTTCACACGATATTGCACAGTACAACAAACAAACGGGCCCAAAACAAATGCTGTGTGATTGGAAAATTCTCACCTTGAATTCCATCATGCATGGCATGTTTGAGCATGATGTCCAAGCCAGTGCACGAAGCGGGAAATCTCGAGAGAGGGTCGTGAAGAACAAAGATCCAGCGTTCATACTGTACTGCAGGCCGACACGTAGCCGCGGTCAAGCATGCTGAGAACACCAGCCACCAGCACCGGGGCGGATTGAAAGCTGGGCGGGGATGCGCCGCCCGGACTCGGCTGGAACGCACCGTCATGGCCGTTGATTTAGCACCTGGACTTCGGTGTCCGTAAACTTATGACGGGCCATGATTCAAGTAGGACTACACAAGCTTCAATCATGGACGGCTGACATAATCCAGTGGTGATTCAGCATTCCAAAAAGTACGAGTAGGCCTAGGCCTATAACGCTGAGAATTCATGTTCTGGAAACCTTGGACGGCTGTGACAAATCGCATGAAATGTCGAAAAGCAAGCGGATCGCTTGGGCTGACGTTCTGACGAGGCATCTTGTATTGTAAAAGCTGTATGGTCGTACTCGTAGGATATACGTAAATGCCGTCTCCACTCCCCAAAAGGTCACTGAAGTCAGCAGCATAACATTTGCAAATCATAAGTTCACTAACCGAAGTTCAAATGTGAACGAAAAATCCATGGAATGTAAGCGAACAAACGCTTATTCCAGGAGAAATTTATTTTTGTTGTTGCGGTCTCAAAAAGCTACGCCGAACTGGCCTTTCATCCACGGCGTGTACGTACGTAGTGCGTCTGTGCGCGCGCTTGGACTTATCACATTTGTATCAATATTTATATCTCCCTTGGAAGTTACATCAACTTCTGCCTATTAACAGCACTTTTGGCTTGATGCCAGCAATGGATGGCCAGCTGCAATTTGGGCAATCAATATGTTTACTAATTCCACACCATAGCAACCATCCGCTGATTAACAGAGAGTTTGAAACTCAGCCAGCCGTGTGTTCGTGGAGAATAATGTATTTTATCTTTCAGTGATAAAATGAA